CATAAGAAAAAGCTGTCCTGTGAAGAGACACCAAAAGGATAAGACATTTCTTATAGGAAGCTGAAAAACAAGATGGCAAATGGTAAACTATAAAAAATAACAAAATGGTATCAAGGATACCATAAGCCTGTGTTATCCTAACACAAAACCACAAAAACATCTGATAAAAGAGACGAAGTAGCTAACATTGAAAACCTATTTAAAAGAAACATCATTTGTCCGAGTAAAAAACTGTATAAGTGTCCTAAGAGGGCCTGCATGTATTTACAAATATATAAAACTGGTTACTTTTAAAAAAGAATGATAGTTGATCAAAATCTCTCTGAGAAAACAGGGCAGAAGAGTACCAAGAATCTAGTAGAACCATCACACGCAGTCTGCTGCTATCACAACTGATTGTACTACATCTTTTTCATGAGTTAATTTTTCTTCTGATACAGCCATTCCTGAGGTAACAACTCAAGACCAGAGCTTATATGAATGATAAATGTATCTGCTTATAGAATAATTATTGCTAAGAAAGCTCTGAAAAAATAAAGCTCATGAAGTTGAGTGTACACCAATAACTATTTGGAAGAATTACTATTCATTTCTCCACTGTAGGATTTTGCAAATTTTTAAGCACCTCATGCTAATCTTTCCTGCAAGCTGCATACCAGACTAGAGCCGTGATAGAATCCAGTATTGCAAACCTTGTGTTTCCGGTTCTTCTAAGAAGAGATCCTTCACACAGGAAAAGAATATACTTCAGAGTCAGTCCTAACACTTGCTATAGTGGAATTGGAAACAGCCTAAATGGACAAAGCAACCTAAATGATAACACAGTTTTCCAGTTTTCCCCTGTAAATAATACCTCAATAACTTAGAAATTAAAATACCATTTAAGGTGTTCTCCTATTCTGAAAATATCTCTAGTTGAATATTGAGGGAGTTCATGTTTACTCTTTCTCAAGGAATTCTGTAAGTGTGCTCAATTTGAAATTAAATGTATTTATCACCTGGTTTGACAGGTCTGCAGCTCGACCTTGACTTTTGTCAAAAGCTATTATTTCTGCTCTATGCATCACCACTCTAAAGAAGTTCTCAAAGTGGATCTCAGTCAAAAGTTCCGTAGAAGACATGAGACAGAAAACAAGATGATTTACTCCTCCTTTTCTAAACAGTTTCTGCGGAACTCCAAGTAGCAGGAAACAATAAAAACACATCATTGGTAATAACTGCTATCAAGAGAATACACTGAACATGCTGAATAAAACCTTAGTAAGTAAGCAGTTCCACTTCTACAGTTATACCATAATTCCATATACACAATAATTAACGGCAACACTAAATCGTTGCATCAAATATTTTTGTAAGTACCTCCTCACTACAAGAGTTTTCCCCTCTTTTGCTACATGCTTTTATCATGAACTTCTCCTATTCACCCTTGACTTTTTCCCCCAAATCATCCTCTATTTCAGGCAGAGGAAACAATCTTCTCCCTTCAAGCCCTACTCAACTCAGCCCATCCTTCCACACACTTTTTGCCCCATCCAGCTGCTGCTGCCATCAGAGCTCATACCCAGCTGTCAATTCTCCCTCACACTAACACTGTTCTGAATCAGAAGAAATTTCTTGCTACCAAAGCAGTACTTCCTTCTCACTAATTTTATTTTTAAAAGTATGTGTAATTTTTACCAGTTAATTATCACATGCAGCATACTCAGGGCTCTACACATTTAGGAGAGCAGTTACTTGTCCATTTTTACAATCTAAAATCCTAATGAGAAAAGAACAGGTGGTTTAGCTTTTTTTCTCATCAGCTGTGTGATGGGTAGGAACAGATGATCACTCCCCTCTTCGGCTTCTCTCCAATACCATAGCTCTCCTCTTCCTCCTCTCACCCTGTCCTTATGTCATTCAGGAGTTTTGCTTTCAATTCCCTCTTCTCTCACTTTATAAATTCCCTTTAGGGGACAACACCCATTTCCATTGTTTTCAGATAACCGCTTTACACTGACAGCTTGCAGCTTTCTCTCGCCTCCTATTTTTCATTGGCAACACAACTCTATGTATCTTTCAAGCCTGCAAATGTATGTATCTAAAACTCAATCGACTCCAAATGCAGAGTTTCCCCAAGCACTTAGGTCTGACTTGTCTTGCGTGTACACCCCAAAAAGCCCCATAGTAGCCTCTGGCGACCTCAGTTACCTGGTTCAGTTGAGCGACCTGAGGATGGACTACATGTACCAGATCAGAAGTATGCACGAGGATCTAGTATGTTTTGCATCTACTTCAAAGCAAGTTATTAATAAATTACCAGAGATTTTTGTTTTTCCTGGAACAAACTATGATATGCATGTGTGCATTTATATGAGGGGGAAATGTGCTATATGTAAACATGAATCATAAAAACCAAATGAGCCACAGGACAAAGCATCAGGTTGTGCACTGTAGTTTCTGTTCAAGGGTATTTTGGTTTTGTAGGTTTAAAGAGACCCATACCATTACTGTAAAATCTGAAAAATTGTATTTCTGCTTTCTACAATGTTCAGCAGCTACGAATTTGGAGTTAGAAGTTTTCTAAAAGCTGTATCCAATTACAGTGCTGAATGATTTGAATAATAGACTACCTGACATATTCCAAGATAAGTTGCTGCTACCTTTCTTTGATATTAGGGTCATATACTGTACTTATCTATTTTTACTCCATGCTCTCCATTGCCTAGTAATAAATTAATTTCTCACTGTTAGTTTGGCATGTGCCCTACAGTTAAATACATTTTCTCTCACATTGAAGGAAGAAAAAGTTTTCTGAAGTATGACAACTATCCTCCTTATTTTTAGAATTAGTCATCACAGATTAAATTCGAAATACTATTTTAAGAGGGACATTCCCATATAAAGTCTTAAATGCTGTATTTATATTTTCGTTTTTAGAAAATTACCTGATTGTGCTGAAAAACATGTGGCAATAGTTATTTAACAACCTGCATGCAAGAATTTTTTTACAATGTATGGTTATCATTTGAAAGACCAGTTTTTAAACTTAGTGTTTCATTTTTGTTGCTTCCTAGTGCATAAAACTCAGCAAAGGACCTCGTGTACATCTGCAATTTTTATAAATGACAATGAGAGTTGAGCTTAGCTCTGAAAACAGAATACAGCCGAAAACATGTAATCACTATCCAGGCAGCAACAATTAGTTATTTTGTGATCTGGGTTATTTCCAGAGCATGGAGTAAGAGGAAACATTCAAGCTTCTTTGCTGGTTACAAGGTTTACCAGGAACTCAGCAGTACAAAGAAAGGGGCATTTTGCAGGATCAACCCGTTCATGCAGAACTTTTTCCGCTGTTTAGCCTACATGTTCTAGCTTTTTCTGTATAACACCCCTTATTTCATTGCAGCTACCTTCTGAACAATGGGAAGAAGCAATTTAGCAAACCAACAGCGGCAGTCATGAGGAAAGCAAGCATGAATGTGGGAGTGGAACATGTGTTCATGTACTGTAGACGATGACAGGACTAAAGACATTGGCAAATAGGGAGTGTTCTAAAGCATCCAACATTACTGATTCCTACCTTTAACTTACCCTCAAAGATGATGATACTGAAGTAAAGCAAAGACACCAGAGTCATTCTTAAGCTAACCCAGAGCCAGGAAAACAGATGATTGCCTGTGTTTTCAGCTGTCAAAGCCATAAAGGATGGCAAAGAAGCAATTGTGGGATTGCAATCACAGAAATAACACCACAGTTGTAGTTAAACTCAAGGCTTGCCGCCTAACGCTGCACACTGCACTGCAAAATAACATGGAAGGTAATTTCTGGCATTTTCAGACTGTGTGACAGGCGAACAACAACGTATCACGTAAAGTGACTGCACGTCCACAGATTGTTACTGCTCTGCTTGGAATTCAAATTGCATCACAATTTTCTTAGATAAGGCTAATATTCAACACATTATATGGAAGTATACCTTTTTGATACCAAATTAAAAGCCTGTAAACATGAAATTCAATCATCAGCTGAGATCTTTGATTTCTTGAGTCAAATGATTAATGCACTTTCTTTACGTAAGTATTTGGTTTTGCAAACATACTGCTCCCAAAGCCAGCACAAAGTACTTTACCAGCAATTATTAAAGTTGCAGTGTAGGTTTTATATACCAGACTCACTGGAAACAAGGGTAGGCTAAAAAATGCCTGTGCCTCTGGTTATTTTTTCTGGTCACTCCCATCCACTGTCACTAGGATAAGTTTCCTGTGTGGTACTGCTGCAATTCCTTATTAAATTGGCAATTTAAATTGGACACACAAAATGACTAAAAAAAAACCCAACCAAAAAACCCCACCACAAACTACTATCCTTTCCCCCAACCAAAGGAATGCCCTTTACCTGCATGACTTCGGTAACCTTAACTATACCTATAGTTTTGAGATTCCCTAATGGAAAGTGCTACAAAGCAGAAAGCAATAACACAATGAATCATGACACATACTGATACACCACTGACTGTGTATCTACACCCTTTTCATTTCCACACAGGGCTATGCTCTGTATACTCATGAAAAATTACTTCCAAGTAGCAAAATGTCGTAATTGGAGGCATGTATGATAAACAAACAGGCTGAGGATTAAAAGGTATGTGATTTCCTTGTAGTTTATTTTTGATAGTGTAGCTACTAGATGATTTGAAAGATTTGTATAGTTTGGATACTTAATTTGTGAGTAAAAGTTTCCCCGAGGCAGAGAAAAAAACAGATTGAAAGAAAAGGTTAAAAATCCTTAAAGGCATACTTCTCAAACACACAATAGCCATACTTTTCTCCACGTTTCAGAATGTAATTATTACAGATCAAAAAAAGCTGCCAGACTTGCATGTAAACCAGAATTTCATACAAGACCTTTATATGTGAAAGTACTTTTAAAAATCACTTCAATTGACTGCCTCAAAAACACATTAAATGCTTAAATTAAGACAAACACTGCCACACCCCCCCTTTTTAAAGGCTACTTACATCAATGACTGATGAACTTGACAGACTTAATCCCTCTAGGTCTGCTGTTACACTTGGGGACAAAACAGCTGCTGTAGGAACTGCCACAGGAGTTGTCACAGGACAGACTAGAAGTAAAAAGGCAATTGATACCTAATATTAAAAAATATTTAAATACTTGGAAGAAAAGCACTACAAAGCATAGCCAAAAAACAGTGCCAGCTCCACCCTAACCTTCCAAGATTACATTTTAATCTGCTCATCAAAATGGTGATTTTTAGTGTCTTATTATAGTGCCATAATTGGTTCATAGGTTGCATAGATGTTGTACAAGTAACATCCATCGGCACCTGAGAAAATAAGTCCACTTTAACAGAAAACAAGTCCAGACATACAAAAAGTTTCAAAATAAATATTTTACATACCAATACATTCTAAATTTTGGAACTATTTCTCAGTTCTAAAACATACAAAATCACGTATTGTAATAAGTTGATAGTCTAAGAATTTTTTTTTGTCAGGAAGTTGGTACGATAAATGAACATTATCAATGTTTCAGACATCTAAAATTCATTGAATTAAGTGAACTGAGTTTGTGCCATGGGAAAAACGAGGCTTTAATCAGGATACTTACAATCATCTAAATCTAAGAGAAACACGTCTTGTTTATTTGGAACTTTTCTATCTTGTACTGGTTTTTCTTCTTTCTGTCAAAATACATAAATATTTCATCTCTTACTATATCAGCAAAAGAAAAGTCTTTAATACTTTTATAAAGCAAAGTGTATCTGCTCTCCTGTAGAAGAAAAATCTATCTATTTTCAGGGCTTGGCATTCAGAGAATTCACCTCATGAGAAAGACTTCTTTGTACAGGTAAGCTAAACCTGAAGTCCACATTTGAGTTACATTTAGTCTTCAGAATCCGTGTTTTCATGTAATATTAATAATAGATACTACCCAAAGAAAGCTTTTGCTGTCAGATCAGGACACTTCTGATGAGACCATTAAGATATAGATAGAAGGGTTTTTTTGAAGACAAAAGACTTGGGTACTAACAATTCTGTTTCCATATGAAAAACAGGACAAAATCCATTCAAGAAGAAAGTAGTGTTATCTGCACTTATCTAGGAGTATGGAATCCTTCCCCATCATCTACTGGGATTTTACTTAGTTGCTGGACAAAAAGTTGATTTTTGTCACCAAAAAAGTTTCAATTTTAACACTTAAATGAGTTCTAATTATAAGGATTGTCAGTACTTTAAGTAAAGAGTAGAACAGTAATAGAGTAATCTCAGTGACATGGCAAACAGAATACTTCAAAGAAATTTGTTTCAATACAGCTAAATAAAAAATTCTAAACAAATCTAGTAGGAGCGAGTGTTGGTCATACCTATGGAACATGTTGAGACAGTAATGATTCAGGGCAGAATTTAATGCATCACAGCTCAATATGAACTCCCAGTAGGGTGTTTTAGTAAAAAGGATTGATCTTTGGAAGTAGCCAGTACCTGGACATGTTACCCTCTGGATGCTCATCAGACAGTTTGTCATCATGCTATTCCTACCCATTCCTAAGCATCCTTCATCTGGATTGGCTGAAGAATTCCTTCTGCCTTTGGTCTCTCTGGCTCACTCACTGGACAGAAGGCTTTGTCATTCTTTCAATGAATCTGCCAACTGCCTTTAGACCTGAAGATGCTGCTCACTACCCACGGTATTGCAAGTAATTTAAACATAGTCTTTCCAGGAGTCACACTTCTGTGAACCTTCTAGTTTACTAGTTTCCTTTTCAATATCACGTGACAGCCAAATGTGTATACAAATCCTATTCTTTTACCTTTTCTAATAAATGAACAGCTCTAAATAAATCAGTAATACTCTGCATGCCCATCTGGGCCTCCACCTAGTGAGCATTACTTGAAAGCAGTCACAGTCTCTTCGGGCACTCAGTATACAAATTTCCACAGAAGCTTGGAGTCCTCTCAGAAACTCAGTAGCTGGGATCACTTTCTTTGACTATCACTGTAGAATAAAATGACCCCTCTTTTCTATAGGTGCTTTCCCTTTCTTCTAGTTTCTCAGCCTCACAGTCAGTTGCAAAGTAACAATAATGTTGAGTCTATTTTTTCTCAATTTTGGGAGATATTCTATGGTTCCCTCCAAAGAACATGAAAGAAACTAGCTAATGTTCTTGCTATTTGAAGTCGTTGATGTTAATGATTATCAGGCTTGACCTGAGCCAAAATGACATTGCTCATTTTCTTCCCATATATATACATCATGGCTCGAATAGACAGTAGTCACTTATGTGATCATTACAGATGTACTTTAGATATTCTGGAAGGAGAAGAATCTTGTGGACAGAGAAGGGAAGCCTCTATTTTTAAAATTATTTTTAAATTAACATACTTCAATGGAACGTATCACTATGGTATTTGAGTGTTCTACTATCGCCGATTTATCTGAATCACAAAATTCCTCTGGACAAAGGAAATACTACAAGATATCTTTAAAATGGTGGTAATATGCCTTGTCCAGAATTAGTGATGGACTCTGCTGCAGAACCAACTCTGTAGCTGGTTTCACAACTACCAGAATTCATTTTTCTCTTTCAGTGTGATTACTGCAAGTCACTAAGCTTCTTTTGGCTTTTTTTTTTTTTTTCCCAAGTCTGTGAAATAGGATAAAGAGTATACTTCATAAGCTACAGGTTTTACTTGAATTACTCATGTCTATGAAGCCAGAGAAACAATTTCATGACAATTCTGTTAACGAATTCCAAGTCTTCTTATAGCACCATTTGGTGAATATTTAGCTTTAAGAATCAGGAGTTTAGCTGTTATGTGCAGCACTTTTACTATAAACTATGTATCATGACTTTTTGCTAAACTACAAACCCTTCAGGCACCAGAACATACTAAAAGAGGACACAGTTAAACAAAATGCAAATATATTTAACACCCCCCCCCCAAATTCTTTCACTCCCTACTCCCACTTATCCATAAGATACAGTTCTGTCTTCAACTATGATTAAGGTTCAAAGGTTATTGTTAGCTAGAGTTCTGTATTTGCTAATTATTCCAGTAGAGATGGGATTTCTCCATTCCCTTTTATTATGCAGCCAATTAAAGTCTATAAAAAGTGGCTCACCCACATGAGAGGCGATAGCACAGGGATGAGAATTTTGAATATGCTTCAGTTCTGCCAATGGCAGCACTGAGAGGTCAAGATGTTTAAAAAAAATAGGAGTCAGAGCCAAGAAATCCTCTTACTGTTAATCTGCTTACTGGAGACAATTAAAATAGGACATACTATGTCACAAATAACACTTCATGTATGCTTCGGTTTGTTTTTACTGTTATTTATTTTGCCATACTAAAGCAGTTACTAAGTACATATCACAAAGCTTGATATGTAATTTTATAAGATAAAATGCATTTCTGCACTGATATTATTTTGAATCTACTATGTAATTCATCTTTAAAAATGGGTAAAAAAAATCCTTCATGAAAATTTATTTCTTGTACTTCAAAACAAAATAAATGGTCCTAAGATAAGGCACAAGTGCAGAATCATTACATCAGGGTAATGCAAGGTGAGAAAACCTTCCACTGCACACTTTTTCAGAATACTGTACTTAAGTACATCATTTTACTGTAAAAATAGCCAAACAAAAAAACCCCAAACCAAAAAACGAAAAAACAACTCTACCATCTGGGAAATGTAAAATCAGAAGTTAACTAACTCAAGATAAAGCTAATGTTAAAGTATGATCATGTCTTTTTTTCTACTTCAGTCAAGTGTGTCAAGCTTAAGTAAATAGTTACTTATATGTGTGTGTAAACATGCTACATATAGACCAATACACAAATATTTTCATATTTATATGTATATTTCTATATAGGGTTATATATATAAATTGTGTGCAATTCTGTACAAAACACCAAAGAAATCTATCTACATGGGTCTTGTCTATTTCAAACATGACTATTTTTTAATTTGTTTTTTCCAAGAAAGAAAACTGATTGGCTTTCTAGGAATAATAAATAGCCCATGACTACAACAAACACTACCAACAGATATTTCTATTGAATGAAAAAACCTCTGCATTCCAAATCAAGACAATAAAAAGGCTCTGACATGTCTGGCATTTCTCTGTAACATAATGTTTCATCTTTTCTCTTAAAACTAAGTCTACAATATAACCCAAACAGTTTCCTACCAAGACAGCCCACTAAGGGAAAAGCAGAAGACTAAACAAAGAAGTTAAGCTATATTTGTTGTGGTTTTGACTGGTACAGAGTTAATTTTCTTCCTAGTAGCTGGTATAGTGCCGTGTTTTGGATTTAGTACTAGAAGAATGTTGATAACACACTGATGTTTTGGTTGTTGCTGGATAGTGCTCAGACTGGCCAAGGACTTCTCAGCTCTCAGTGCTGCCAGGTGCACGAGAAGCTGGGAGGGGACACAGCCAGGACAGCTGACCCAAACTGACCAAAGGGCTATTCCAGACCATATGACATTATGCTCAGCATATAAAGCTGGAGGAAGAAGAAGGAAGGGAGGAACATTTGGAGTGATGGTGTCTGTCTTCCCAAGTAACACGTGATGGAGCCCTGCTTTCCAGGGGATGGCTGAGCACCTGCCTGCCCATGGGAAGTATGAATGAATTCCTTGCTTTGCTTTGCTTGCGTGCGCAGCTTTTGCTTTATCTATTAAACTGTCTTTGTGTCAACCCACGAGTTTTCTCACTTTTACTCTTCTGATTCTCTCCACCGTCCCATTTGGGGGGAGTGAGCAAGTGGGTGCATGGTGCTTAGTTGCCAGCCGGGGTTAAACCACGACAATATTCCATCAAACATTTCTCCATTTGCAATTCATCTTGGTAATAGAGATAGAACCTGGTAAATGCATATAGGACTTGAAGCAGGAGATTTCTCTTGCTCAATGCATAATTCATGTGCTCCGCCTGCAAAGTGTGTAAAATGAGAATTTCACACCGCAGCATGAGCCATGGAGCTGCAGAGAAAAGGCAGATGAAATCATATTTTGCTGTGTGAATTTTATTTCTTACCCTCCCAATATTTATACAAAACCATCATTGACAATCCAAATGCATTGACAGATCACCCACTGTTTCCATTGTGTTAGCACTTGAAAAGAGATCAGGCAGAAAGATAGACAATTTGTTTTTGTATATTTTTTAAATAGTGGATCAGGTTTTTAACAGCTGAGTGACTGTATTATACTTGTATAAGGAGGTCAACAGTAGCTGATTTTAAAATCGCACTGTAGAGACACCTACTTATACATGCATCATCCTCAAATCTGCATTTTTAGCTCTACAGTATTTATGCTTACAGTATAATATGTATCTGAACACCTCGAACTATCCGTATTTCAAAATGATATAAAACACTGCAGTACAAGAGAGTGACTTTTCTATTCACTGCAGCTCAATTACAGTGAACACAACTGCTTTTTCAAAATGATTCTTCAAGAGAAAAAATATGAAAGCATTAATAATATATTCTGAAAAAATAATCTGAAGTTTTTGTAACCTATTTTAGTGCTACTAAATGCATGGATGTATGCACAAATTAAGCTCCCATTTGAGTGTAATCGAACCTTTTTTATTATGAAAATTCTGCTGAACATGGCAATGGTACTCAACAAAACATAGAGAATGGTAAATACCACTCAAAACATCAGCTATGTAACATAGTTCACAGTGTGTGGCAAACTATAAAAACTATAAAAATAAAGCCTATTAACTACTCCTCTTATCAATATGTATTTCAGAAAAGTCTTTTCAGTTTTATTTAAAAGGAAAGGAAATCCTAATGAATCATCTCCACATATAAACTGACCAGATTAAGAACACCCTGTAGCAGAATAATGCAAGCAATGACTTTTCCAATAAAAATCTATCAGAATAAAAATATGCATTTCTGAGAGCCTGGCTGGAAATCCTTCCTGGGTGGCCTGAAAAGAAGTCAGGTAGGAAGCAGAAAAATTCCAAGATTTTCCTGCAAGTCAAAAAAACCATGGGTGGTACTTGTAAAACGTACCTTGACACAAGGGCTCTATGCAAGACTTTTATCTATTATGTCCTTTAAAGTTTGTTAACAATTGCTTTTCTTTCCAGCTTGGAAGGGCTTATCTAAATCATCATCAGTTAGCTCCACCTATCATCAACAGGGCTCAAAACTCTCTCTCTCTCTCTCATTAAGCTCGTTAGCATAACAATCACCTTTCACACAAAATACCTGTGATTCTCCCTCTCAACCCCCTCCTCCAATTACACTTCTGAATATAACCAAGTATCAGAAACACCTCAAGCATAAATAAAGGCATCCAACATGGTTTAAGTGGAAACTAACTTCATGGTCCTAGAGATTAATATTGTACACTGAAACAGTCCTCTTACGTTCAAAATTGTTAAATTAACTTCCCCCCTGCCCCCTTCATATATGACCAGTGTTGTTTATAGTCCATCAGACATAGCTTGTTGCCCTTACATTAAATGCACTAATTTCCTAGATTAAATGCACTAATTCCTAAAAAGAATTTAGCTTTAACTGACTGAGCTCTATGCTAGCTTTTCAATAATCTCATTGGTTCTGTTCTTGCTGCCATGCATACAAACAGATTTTTTGATGTTTAAAAGCTCTGCAATTTTTCAGTTCTACCCTTTGACTCTGATCAATTTTTCTGTCAATTGCTTATAAATACTTTTTGTTCCTAACACGTTTCTTTTTAGGTGCTGCTTTATCAAGTAGGACTTTGGGAGTACTGGAATGTTCTTTCTCTTCTCTTAAAATCCAAGGGCTTGACAATTTTCCATTGATTTCAACAAAACAATCCCAAGCTTCTTGGACATTCTGTTTCTTACATTATTCAGTATATCTGACTTCAGACATTCTCGACTGCTTTTTTAAAATACAAAAAGCTTCTTTATGCTAGTAGTCCTCACATATCCTGTGAAAGAACCAGAACAGTTTAGATAACTGTACTGAAAGAAATCATAAACAATGGTGCTGACATCCTAAGAAAAATGGACAAATGCAGCAGACAGAAGATGCTATTGTTTGAATATGGTTTTGCAGTGGCTGCTCAGAACTAAGCAGGTCAGAGTACCTATTACTTTCCAGTGAAAAAATACTGGGCTAGTATGAGAAGCTGCAAACTGTTAGAATTAATTCATGTCCCATCTAGTGTCAAAGGAGTTTATTCTGAGAAGGTTTAGCTTACATTTGTTGTGCTACCATTTTTTGGCAAGTTGCAGTTTGGCTTCTCTACTAGAAAAAAAATCTTACGCATAGGGGCGTTACCCAGTGTGGTATTTGGGCAGGAAACAACAATCAAGCCATGGAACACACCTCCATTTCTCAAATGCGATATTCTCACTTCATCTTTTGTTCTACTTGGTAGAAGAGGGAAATAGATTAAAAGCTAAGATTACAACTCAGAGTTCCTAGATGGACATATAAAGTTACAAAAACCACCATGTACAACTTAAGGTCAAGATTTAGAGAAACAGAAAGCCTTACCCCCTCAATTAAAGGAAATGCACACTAAACCAGCTTAACAAAGTTGCAGCCTTCCCTCTTAATTGTTCAAAACACACCCGTCCACCAGCTTCTACAATTGCATCAAATGCAACAAACGATGTCTGTTTTGACTATTCAGCAATCTATACAGGAGTCCTGACCAAAATGTCTTGGCTTAATTTAAAATGCAGCAGAACATAATTTTATTTTCAAACCACAGATCAGTATTAAAATGGAAACTTCTGAGCTATAATTATACTCCTCATATTTTTATAAAACATACAGGAGGAAATCACAAGAAATATTTGATAACAGAAAGGTAAGTTTCAGAAATTCTCTTACTCTTCTACCTTAACAGATTTAGCATAGAGTTCCTCTTTTATTTTTTAAATGAAAGGTAGGTAGAGAAACAGAAACCAATTCATGCTATTCACTTTAGCTCTCTAATGCTAGCTTGCCTATAAGGAACTTTAAACCTCTTCTTGATCACTAAGGTAAAGCAATTAAAACTTAACTGATGCATGAATGGCTATGTTAAATACTTCTGCATCTTCACACATTTCCAAATCCAATTTAAAGACCTATTTCAAAGTTTGCTACTTCATAAATGTAAGAAAACTAATACAATTTGAAGTAATGGAACCTTTTATAAGCTTTATTCCTATTAAACACAGAGCGCAATAAAAAGGTGGTTACTCATTAAGAATATTAATTCCACTAATCTATGTATACACCTCCAGTATAGATGTATTAACTGCACTATTCTCAATTTTAACAAGAAATTTTAAAACAAAGCTGGTCTTTCTACTAGAACGTCTTCAAATTTTTAAGACACAATGTACTAGCATTTGTTTCTTGGTTTTGCTTCCTGTCAGACCCAGGTCCTGTAGTAGTTGTACTTTAAGATCTCATTTTAATATAATAATAATCTCAAATCAGGATATTGTTCTTGTGAACTACTGATGTATGATGCTTTCAACAGTAATCTAAAAAACTAATCAGGTTCTATTATTCTTCATCTGTCTGGATTAAAATTATAACGGAATTAAAAGTGAACTACGCTTTTCATTATAAAACATTCTTGCTTAAACTATCAAACTACTTTGGGATTGGTCTTTTTATGAATGTCAAAATTTTTTTTCAGAAATTCTGTTTTTTTTTAGATACCCATAAAACCACTAGCCACCTCCATTCCCACAGAAAGAAACACGTATAGATGGTTAGATGCATCTTTTCATATTTTATACGGGTTTTTCAAAAAACGTATTTTACCTTACTAGAGGCAGAACTTCTAGATTTTCCAGTTTCAGAGTCACTTTTAGAGTCTGATTCTGACTTGGAGTCTGAAGAACTTTCTTCTGATGAAGTGGACTCTGTATGAGAGGAACTGGATGTGCTTCTCTTTTTGGAGATCCTCTTTGCTTTCTTTGTAATATCCTCTGAATCACTACATATTGGAAAAAAAATTTGAGACACATGTAAAAACCACTAAAGAAATCTGCTTAGACAATACCCTACATTAACATTTCCAAGTTTTATTAAATTAAAGTCAGTAATTCTTCATGATAAAAAACGCAGCTAAGATGGCAGAAGTAGTGTTTTACCCTTATTTAAGGGTACACAAAATTGTTCTATCGCATTACACAATAAATCATCACATATAATCTAAACCAGTGAAACAGCCAAACAAAAATGTGAAGATATTAAATATTAAAAGTATTATTTGTGTGCATCCAGCTTGTTATATTTCAGGAAGAAGTGCTGGCATCCTTTTATATAAAAAACCTTTCAGATTATTCCACCTATGACTTAACAGAATCTTGATGTGTTATAAGATGGTTTTGAAAGGTAATATTACCTAAAAAAACCCCAAACAAACAATGCATTGAATTTATTCCTTTGTTAATTATTCTAAATCAAACCACCTAAAAATAAGACCTATAATACCTACAAATATTTCAATCCATTAAAGAGTTTATACAAAAGAGCTATTACATTCTGACACCTTTGGTCATACTGAGTACCTTACAGCTAATGGACTTCAGAGACACTGCCAATTAGTAGACTACCCTTTTGTCTTGGGGGGGGGAGGGGGGGAACTACTACCTAGAAATATTGCAGAAAATGAAAACTGTTTTCTCATAGTTATCATGGAGCAGATAAATTAGTATTGCATATAGAAAAAACCCTATCTGTTGTTGGATCTGTAGGCAACCATTTTATACTTCCAAATCAGGTGTTTCGCACACTACCTGATTCAGCTTCCTCCCCAAGACAATAAATTGGTTAGTAAAGTGCTTGAAGGATAACAAGGTCAACAATAATTAAACAAATCCAGACCACTCAACTACTAAGAGTCCCTTTGGACTCAAATTAAGTTGTTACGCATTTTTGCTTAGCTTTAGGAGCAGTACAAAATAATGTACTATGCTGCATTACTCTTTGAGATAGCAATGTTTCTAGAAGGGAAAAATGCAAAGAATTGAAAAATCTAATGTGACAGAAAGGAAAATAGTTAGGGCAATGCCTTCCTCCTCCCATGAACTTCCCAGGACTGAATTGCCTAAATAAATTTAATCAAAATTATTAAAAATCCATATTAGCATGTAAGCCATGTTAACATGCCTACTCATGTAACTGAAGTTGAAATCAACCCCCAAAATTTTAGTCAAAAGCATTATTTTCTGAAAGTGGCAAACTTCAAGCTTGCAAAGCTAAAAATTAAACAAGAATACACTTCACCAGAACAGTCTAACATAGCATATCTGATTGTTAAAATAATGGTGGAAAAATAGGTACTATCAAAATTACATTTCTATATTACAACATTTAAAAATCTGTTTGAAGTCAATGAGCTAAACATAAAAATTCACTAGGCATACTGTTTAAAGTTTCTTCTTCATGATGTCTAACATAGGTACTGACAAAATTATCTAATTTCCTTCATTGCCATTGAACAGAAACTGTAGTTGCATCAATAAATAAGTTACTGGGAACCCATTATGTAAATGAAGTAAGTTGTTTTTCAACAATTTATCTTTAGCTTATCTTTAAAACTAGATTTGAAGATTAAAAATGTTACTTTATTGTACACCAGCCAGTTTTGATGGGTAATCACTGTTTACCTTACTGCTTAAAATTTCAGATGTTATTCTAATGAAAAGAATTTACTGGTAACTAGCTTTTTAACTTTGTGATGATGAAAAGCCTGTATTAATTTAACCTACAGATTTCATTTGTTCTGAACAGGAAAAACAATATAAATCACTTTTAAAATCATTAAATCCTGACTTAAATTAATAAAGTCATAATTAGGGCATTATGCTGTGTTTGTTATGGAAGTGGCAAGGCGAGCTGCTTTAATTACTGTCTGTAATAAAAGGAGCAGAGTGCGTACTGCGCCCCAATCAGCGCTGTCAGCCACGACTGAGCTGAGCTGCAAACTCATCAAGTGAGCTGGCAGCAGACTACAGAGTAAAGGGCGATCATGTCTGCAGAGGCCACTTGCTGACAGTAGTGGAAGAAACAGATTCATACAATCCAAGGTATTAGCCCCAATTACTCAAAATTTTAATGATACTTTAATACATGATAATGCTGTTGATAATGGGCAATCTTAAAAAGCGCTAACACTTAAATATCTTATGACCGTTTCCCTTCACAGTCCTTGCCTCTAATATTTGGATCATAATCTTTTTAATATAACATTATTTAGAAAAATCAATTGTCTTCGTTACATAATGGCAAAGTGTTGAAGGACTTAATTTTAGCTCTCAGCAAAATTGCTGCAAAAGGTAATTAAGTGTTTCACACAACTGTTTGATCACTTATTTAGCCTCCCAAGGTTACATCAATTTTCAAAAAGCCACCCAAGATTTTACTGAAGTCAGAAATGAATTCCAAACATAAAAGTAGTCTGACTGATGAAAATATGAACCCAGTTCATACACTGAATATTACTGACATACACTGAAACAGGAGACACCACTCCTTGGCCAATAAATCCCCAAAAAGCCTAAGGCTTAGCAGACTGTTTACAGGAAGAGTGCTTTAACAGCTAGTATGACAAAAAATTAAAACCATATAAATCTATACCTACCTTTGAGCAGCAGCTCTAGATGTTTTCTTTGCAGTACTTTCTTTGCTGTCTGATTCACTGTCACTTGATTCTTCACTGGGAGAGGAACTCCCGCTACTTTCATCACTGCTACCTTCCTCCTTATCTTCATTCTCACTTTCACTGCCAGACTCACTCTCTGAAATGAAACCAACTCTGTATTTTTCTCTTAAATATCTTACATAATTAGTATTTTAGGAATCCAAGTTTGGTTTAAGTAAAACAATGTTTTAGTATTTTAAGATCCAATTGCAAGCTTTAGCATTACTTACCCTGTGTCAAAAGCAGGCAAGAGAATCACTTTCCCCTAACATTTACAAAATTTTTGTTGGTTAAAGACCTGACCTCTTCACCCTACGGTATTATACTTTATCAAATTAGAAAGCCCAATAATAAATTAATTGCATGTAGATTCTTCAGAATTACATAACCCTATCAGGAGTTGGAGATGACCTCAAATTCTCCAATCTATACATTCACTTAACTGCAAGATTACCTTTTCAACCAATTGCTTAATTAGATAATCTGTTCTTGGATACTGATAGTGATGACGAATGTATCACTGATTTAAACAAATTATTCTTCCTCTAATTAATCATATAATTACCAAATATTCAAGTATCTGAAGTGAGTATATTCTCTTCCTGCTTCAGAGATCATTAATTTTAAGCATTTCTGCATATTTCCTCAGTTTAGGAATGAGAGAGAAGAAACTCCACACTCAGATTTTAAGGTGCCCTCCTTCCATTCAGCTAGATGCTGATAATTCTTTTAAGTCTCTAATGCTAAACATTTCTGTGTCTGAAGTCTGGGCCTGGGAGAATGATGTTCTTCATTACATGTGAACTATATTAACATCTACTGAAACGAGTGTCTTGGGGAACTGTGTATCTGGCATTAAGTGGGAGACTGGTCAAAAGAACCTTTGCTCACTGAACTTGATAGACAGCTGTCAGTTCTCTTCTCCATCATCACCCCCATTATAATAAATAGAAAGTGTTATGTAGAACTTGAGAGCAATATTATAACACAATTTACTGAATAAACCCCATGAAAGACTACAGAGTTAAACAAGTTTGGCCATTTATGAACACAGCAGCACATGCTATCAAAACAGTACTTCATCAGCAATAAATTCCAAAAAACATTCAAGACTTATGGTTCGCAACAACCAAGCACGTGGGCACTCTTCCCACAAAGTTAGGTGCCTTCAGTTTGAATTGGAGTTACAAACTCTCACTACTCTTACTAGACTCAAAGCAGGATGAAAATAGCATGCCAGCTTTTTAAACTGGGAAACAAAGTAAAATCTAATTTAATAAACACACAAGACGTATCTTTAAAATTGGCAGTTATTGCACAGCTATAGTGAATGTAAAATTTTCCCCCCGAATTCCTGATTTTATACATAGCTCTGGCTTTTTTTTGAATTTTTTTTTCTGATTCTTTTTATGTAGTGGCTAGTTCTGAAGATACAGTTCTCCAGGCAGCAGAGATGAAAGTTGCTTTCCAAACACCTACCTGATGCACTGGTACTGGCAGACTCATCTTCCTCCTCCTCTGACTCAGAGTAGAACTTTTCAGTAGGTTTCTCTTTCTTTGTCTTTCTTATAATCCCAGTCCATTCCTTTGCCTGTAAATAAATTTCAACTTAAGTTTACTTTTACAAACAGCAATACAAAAATATACACACAACATGGCAAAGAAAAACACTTGAAATAGTATTAAGCAGTTTCTAAATAAATCCTCTAAGCAAGTCAGGAGAAACTATTGAACTTTTCTTACTTTACACAATTAGGTGAACTAAAAAGTTTTGTACATACCTATAAAACGTGAGATATGTCTATTAGAGAGTCTAGAAAAAGATTTACTAAGGCAGATTAAAAGCATCAGTAACCATAAATAAATTTCTATGCCTAAAGAACCTGAAGTCTGTGAGTTTTACCTCTAGATCCAGCTGAGTTTAGCCTATGACTAGAATGAAGGGTAAATATGGCTAGTCATCACCTTTATCATCCCAAGTTATAAGGGAAAACCAGATGTGGACCCAGCAGGCATCAGAAGTTCCAGCGGCCACACAGGAATTACATTTAACTTCCTTTGCAATTCTCCAAATAAAAGTAATTCTCAACACCAAGAGAACAGCAAAACATGACAATACTTTGGTCAGATATTTTTGTTTCCATATTCCCCTAGACTACCAGAGAAGCAGAATTAAAACTCAGGCCAGGAGAAAAAAGAAACAGGCAGACAACCATATGAGAGTGATACAGGTCTGCCTCAGTGACTGCTCTCATCGGGAGTAAGATTAACTTTTAAAAGAGCTCTAACAGTGACCTGCAATGGTGTATGGCTCTAGAGACATACTGGCTTCCCTCTTAAACACCAAAGGCTGCTAAAGCTTTGTAATGTTCCACCCAGCAACGGGTATTTTAAAAAGCCAGTATTCTTTTGGATAGAAATGACAATTTAATTGTGGATTACAGCTTAACAACTCAGCTTCACTCACATACATTGTGTAGGCACATGCAGTCTTACAGGAACCACAAAATGAGTGACAATGAGACAGTCTCCAAAGAAAATTCTTGCAAAAAGACACAGGGAAAGGATTTTCACATTTGTTTTGAGGTTTAAATGGTTGGAGGGGGATGTTTTCTTTCATGTTGTAGATGGATGTTACTCCATTTGATCAATTTCCTGCAGCACTTTCTGGTTTTATGCACAAAGGCACCTCCACACATTCTTTCATGTCAACCCTATCATTTATAATCCCCCACTTGAGCTGATTGCCTTCAGATTCTCCCCATAAAAGCTTTCAGTAGTTTGTACACAAATACCTCTTTTCCTGAAATGTATATAAGAAGGTAGATGAGTAATATCAAAGTACCAAGAAGAAATGCTTGTTCTACCACATTGCTGTTCACTGGCTTCTGCAAGTCATACCTGTTTTTTAGAATTTTCTCTACCCATTCTATGCCTAACATCTTATATGCAAATTAATTAATGTGTGGTTTACTGTAAGAGTTGGCTCCTGACAAGGACCACGTACTTTTCTGGGCATACCTGTTACAATGACATACCTCCGGGAGCACTATCAGCACACTATATTCCACTACATTTATATTTCTATTACTGTTCAACAGCTTTCACTGACATTTAGTAGGACTTTGGTACTTGCAACATAAATCACAACTCTGGTACCAGAACATGACTTTGGCTCAGAGTTTACAATCCAGTTACAAAAAACTATTGGCAGTGGAACACCAGCCCTGTAATGTCAACAAATGACTGGTGCACTAATAGATGACATTTTCCTATTATAAGCTTTCCTAATGCTCTCCAGATGATCTGAGATGTAAATCCTGGTCTCTTCCAAACTTTACACTTTGAAATATACATAGTTTCCCCCCTTGCCCCTGCCTTTTGTTTAGATTACCTATTTTTTTCTGTTTAGACCTGGATTTGTACATGAACAAACCTTCACTCACCTCCTACTTTGGTAGTCCACCTACACTCATCAGTAACATCAATTAACATACTGCAACACAGAGAATATAAGATGTATGAAATCAAAAGTGAGATGGAGGGGGGAAAAAAGCCCATTTAATCCAGGAGTGAAGCAGAAGTGACCTACAGTTGATCCACTTCTCTCACTGAAAAGAGCAAGCATCGGGCAGGTTTCCAAATGTTCCATTTCCAAGCTAAAAGAAGCAACATGGATGTTCACATGCATCAGCGTTTTTCAGTACAGCATACAGAGAGTATTTAAATACTTGTATTTTGGGCTAATACTCTATACTGATGAGTGCCTTCAGCAAAGTTACTTTTAATGATGCTGACATACCGACTCAGCTACATCAACATTTCGGACGGAGGGGTCAGGCGCCACCTCTGGCCAGTCAGACAGCTCCAGGTAACCAGTGGCTCGGCTGTTCAGCGTGTGAGACAAGGTGCCAAGCTGGAAATGATCCCGATCTATTAAAAAAACGTGGTGGTGGTGGGGCGGTTAGGGAGGGGGGAAATACGCAAACACCATGAGCTCTACCACAAAGAACCATCTTAATCAGGGCTAAAGGTAATTGCCATTATATTACCTCAAATGTCATGGAATAAATATAAACTAGGAAGCTCTTCATAGGTCAAAAAACTGATTTCAGTCCATAGATTACAATAATCTCCCCCATAATGGTCAATAAAAAAGCTAATCAGTCAGTGTGTTTAGAGGTGTTGCTCTGAAATGTAGCTTCTCTAAAAATTACTTTACTGTGAATATTAAGAATGACAGCACAGTTAAACAATCCATATACATGTCTTGGCACAAACACATCCAGAATTTTAATAGTTTTTCTTCAAAATGGAGCTCCTTTTAGAGCTTCAAAACTGGGGCTAAGTAAGTACAAAAATGAAAATCACAAATCATCACAATAACAGAGCATTTTTAATTAAGAAACCTGATAACCTTTTAATTTGAGAAGGCAGACAATGGTTCTTACTTGTAAAAAGATGGAGAAAACATGAAGGGAAAATTATGAGTTTGGAGAAAAATAATGAAAACCTAATCTATTGAGATTCAATTTATTTCAGATTCATAAAACATTTGCAATGCTCACATTAACAATCTTCTATTAAAGTCCAGATTAAAGACTAGAGCTATTTTCCTAAATTGAGGAACAGTTTTCCTCAAAAGACACACCTTCTGTTATTTAAATCAAATTTTAAATCCACATGAATAGAAATAGATCAGTTTGTCAAGGTTTATCAGAGAAATGCACCGTGTTTGCACCATGCAAACCTCACTTGCTGAAAAGCAAGTAAGCAGAGCGAGTACCCTTGCATATTAATCATTTGTATTTGCTAAGTGACACAATTTGTGAACATATTCGAAATAGAATAGACTGCCACATTCCTTTACACAATGAACATTTACCAAATGATTTTGGCAGTTATACCTTTAAAAGGAGACTCAAGCAATGGGGCAGGTTTCTGTGCCAGAAATATTTTTTTGGCATATTTGCTTAAAGCTCCACTCTTCTCATTCGGAACAATAAGCTGCCTAATAAATCTTGTACGGTCTCTGATGTCGTAGCTTTGATCATACTTGCTGAGATTTAATACGTACTGGGTAAGCAATTTTGTCTGTGGAAAAAAACAGGACAAGAACAGAATACAAGTTATTTATGATTATTGATAACTCTGGATAAACATATTTAAAGAGGTAATAAAAATGAATGGTTATGTCAAACAAATGTTGTTCCACAGGGAATATGCATTTCTAAAGCTGCAAATGGAATTCTGAAGCCAAAGCACATGTCCTCTTCTGTATTGGGGAGGTGAATGCTGAGTACTGAGAAGCAGCCATGTGCTAGATTATTAAACTGCTGAAGTGGAAAGAAAGGCATCATTAAAAAAATAATCATATATGGCAAACCCGCTGAAGGGTCTACGTGAGGATAATGAATGTGGAAATACAACTAAAAACATGGCACTCAAAACTTAATCGGAAAAATATGCAGGACATCAAAACATCAGAGGGTATTAGGGGGCTGGCAAACTGCTTCTGCTGAGGTGTGTTTTATGAAGAGATACTGTCCCTGGCATAAGCAGTGTCTGCACTCTGACTGCACTCAGTTACTTTATCCTGAATTATGACCCATTAAAGCAGACACATGAATCACTGAACTGGATTACTGCAAATTATTTGCAGTGCATTTAGCTGTTACTTTTTCATAAAAGCAAGCTGCTGATGCCCTCTAAAAACCAGGATAAAAGACTTCTTCCATTTTTTTCTTGAAGCTTAAAGCCTCCAGTAATACCGGTCATTTATTTATTTATGTAAGAGAGCAACTTATATTATCACAGCTTTTTACAGCATAACAGGACTTCCTAATTTGATGCCTGAGAATATTAACATGTATTAAACAATTTTAATAATGCAGTTAAATTTTTAAAACTAAAATAATATAAAAATTAGGGACACTTTCCCTGTATTTTAGAAATAACGTAGTGTAGCCAGAACAATAGCACTGAAGAGACTTGTATCCATTAGATACGTTTGAAAGAAGTATGCTACTTTCTTTATATACAAGCAAACAGGAAAAAGAGCAAAATAATATACCATAAGGAAGTAAATTTTTATTATTTCAACTCAGAATGGATGGACAACACAGGGTTAAAGATGTATTGTCAAGGAGGATTCATTTTTCCTATACAAAGAAAAAACCTTGCATAGATATCTTGTTTATCATGCTATTGTTAGAACAATAACAGTTTCAATCGTGAATAGAAGAATATGTAAAAAAAAAAAGTCAATTTTGTTATGTGCAATTTGCTAAGAAAAGTTCAGTTTAATAATTTCCAGCTTGAGACTGCAAGTTAAAGTTTTTTCTAGAGAGGTAAAAATACTTTTTCGGAATATTGATTAACTCCTGTAAGTGAAACACATAGTAAACAGAAAATGGGTTTAATTTTAACCACATGCAATCCAATGTATGCAAGCATTTCACAAAATACCCCGTGGTACCAAAGATTTGAAGAAATTAGTCATATTACATTAGAATAGTAATAAAAGCATAGTTAAAAAACTCCTTCAGTGAAACATTTTTAATTTCTTTTTTCTCTCTGATACTCAAGGATGGTTCTGCGAAAAGATATTTTTTTCCTCCAAAGTACTGTCTTTGCTCTGGGAAAGGTAAAAGTTTCCCCTATGCGTTTCACAGCTTATTGGCAGCTATTTCTATGTCAGGGTATAACATTTTAAACAACTGCATCAGACAGAACAAACGTAATCTGCATTCATGCAGGACTTCTGCTGTTCAATCTAAATGGAATTGGAAGGGAGGGTTCCCAGGTAGCATGAATTAAACTAAGTGAGGGATACCTCCTGCAGCCTTGGCCATCACTTCTCCTCTGTAAAACAAAACAAGACTCCTTGCTGTCATGGCAGAAAGCTCAGCAGAACGGATCATAAAACGGAGTGGTCTTTGCTTGTGAATTGCTATAGGGATGGGAAATGTTGAGAGGTTTGCTGTCATGGTGGGCACTTTTTCAGTAAGCGTTGATGGAATCACATAAAGAGTTGATCCTAAAGGACTGCATTTTCTTTAATGGGATCACTTTCTCTATGATCCTTTCCCTTTTTCTCCCCCCTTTCCTCTCCCCTAAAATATCTTTTCCACGTTGTTCAATACAGATAAAGACACAACAAATTTATATGGAAGAATATATACAAGCATCATGTGTAATATAATTTTCATGAAAACAGCAAGAAAACACTATTGTTTTTTCCTGTCTTAGGCCAACGCAACCAAACAAGTAGTAAAGCTTTTCTACATGGAGGTAGCTAATAGAAACAATTAATTTTAATTAAAAACAAAAAATAAACTAATGAATACACATCAGTTTTTCCAACAAAGGAATATCTGTAAGAAGCTGGAAATTACTTGAGCAAGCACGCTAATTTGGTGAAATATGACAGTATCTGCACACCATGACTGCTTCACAGAACAGTAAGACAAAGTATACTGATACAAGATACAATACATTTATGTTTGTATTACATTTATGTATGTCAACATTGCCTGTTATCTGGACATGCTCATTATATAGGCATATCATCACCTCTTTTATCCCCACACTGTTAGAATCTATTACTATTTTTTGTACATTTGGGTTTGGCTAATATGAAAAGTATACTTCAAGTCATCCTTCAGCAATATTTCTAGAATTTTCTAGTGACAATAGTTCTATTTAAGAATTTACTGCCTATCCTATATTAGCAGCAATTAACCTTTTGGTAGATCGCCACTTGAAAAATTTTATAATACAAGTATCACCAACAGATGAGGCTCTACAATCAGAGAGAAACAGCTCTCTCTCCACTCTTCGATATCATTAGCTTGCAGTAACTGCATTATAGACTCTCCTGTCGGACCTCAATTTAGACAGCTATCTAGCACATTCACAATGATTTTTGTCTTTAAGTGATGAAAAAAGGAAGCAAGTTGACCAAACAACATAGACAACGAGAGGAAAACCTGTTCTTATTGCATTTATTCAGATAGCATTGAGCCTGAAACTCTTCCTTAAACTATAAACAGCCTTTGAAAATTCATGGGTCGATCACAGGATTTAAAGGATTTTGGAAACTCTTATAAAAAATGCTAAATCTTAATAAGCACTCCTGAGAATGTGTTGCATTAATTGTTTGAACATATGCCTAAAGAAATTATCAGCAAATAAAAGAATAGATTTACAGAAAGCAAAAAAAACCTCCAAAGTGTTATTTCCTCCAGAAATTTGTGCTTTTCTCCAAACAAGACTTAACAGATTATTTTAACCTGCCTTTCCTTCACCTGGGGAAAGAGCTCATTTCATCTGGTTGGTTGGTATTGAGTCTCTCTTGGCTGTCCTACCACTCTTTTTCAATAAAGTGACATTGTATCTTTGAGATTTTCACAACTCCATTGACTTTGGATGAAACTCAAAGGACTGAAAAAAGTATTAGGTGGGGGGGTAAGACATGGGGATGAGGAGAGATGGACAGACTGACAACTGAGCAGTCAAGTGTAAAAGATTTGCCTTCAAGTTTGAAAAGTTAGACTGAAAAGCAGCTGGACTTTTTAGGAACCTAAGTCATTCCAGAAATAAATGTTTTAATACCGAGTAAGTAAAGAAGAGTTACTCCTGGGAATAAGGATCCAGATATAAGAAGAGTGTTGCCAGGTCCTAAAGGCAAAACCATCTCATTCTAGGTTGAAAGGAGCTTTGAATCAAGCCAAGTCATCAACCTACTCTGTTGGAATTCTGTATACGAATAGCTTGAACACTTGAGAAGACAACTTATTTTTCCACAACCTAAAACTAAAAGAGGAAAACACCCTTTGATGAAACTAATAATTTAGGAGGAATCTCAGGAGACAGTTTCTTCTGCTTTATCATCATTACCATATTTGAATAAAGGGTTATGCAACACTTACAATGACAGTTTAAAACGTATGAAGATGTGAAACTGGAAAAAGAGCATCACAGAATCATCAGCTCCCTGTAGGCAATGGATTTTTGGCCAAACACGGTGTGGAAAAATTAGTGTAAAATTACAAAAACTATATGGAAAATTAGTAAATTATTATGTAATGGGCCAAAAGGAGACAGTCTGGATAATCAAACCAATCTTTCCTTAGATCACTTAGCATTTTCATTAAGATGAGCACTGACAGAAAGAAATCAGCTAAGGACAAGCATTCACTCTTATCTGAATGCATGGCAAGACAGTTCATATCCCACATGCTCTACAGAATAAAGTCTCAGACCAAGTCTGCAGTTGCATATAGCTATCAAAGAATGAGAAGACACCACAACTGCAGAGGTACAAGATTCTGTGCTGTCCAAGCGGTTGTAAAACAAAGACATCTAGCAGCCCACGACAGTGTATAAATCTCAGACAGTATATTTCTTCTACATTTGGGAAAAAAAAAAAAAAAAACCAACTTTGATTTTACAACCTTTTACAGTAATACTTGGAATTAAGAGTGAAAAATTAGTGTCAAAATGATTCCACAGCCAGTGAGTGATGAAGTTCACAGTGTTGTCATTGAGAAGAACGAGGCAGCTGGCACCTCTCATAGCTATTGTTTTCAGCTGCCTGCAGATCTACGTTCACCTTTTTGTACCATCTGACATTTTTAGATTATCTTTATTACTGTAGAAGATCAAAACCCACCCTCTCCACAAGGTAAAGTGAAATAGTATGAAATACAGAAAAAGGGAAAACAGTTACTATTTTTAAGATAAGCACTGATGGAAAGACATAATGAGGCCTTTTGCCTGCAGCTCCTTTTAGATACTCTGAACAAAAAGTGAGCAGCTTCTTGTTCAAACTGACAGTAGTCCCTTGAAAATGCTAGTCTTAGATCCAGAGAACATTAAATCACATCTCAAAAATTTCCTCTCTGGTATTAGCGCTACAATTTACAAATCTTTCCTACTTAATTAAAAAAAATCCACAATTGCCCCAAGAAAGGGAAAAAAAGAGTGATCCCATCACTACATTCATCTTTACAATCCAGCACATACTCGAAGACTCTGGTTAGATTTAGTCTGTTAGATTTCTTGAAAACTGATCTTCAGTTGTTCTTTGTAGAATGATATGGACCAGTTTTGGTTACTTATATAACAAAACTCACCAATGATCTATACAGACTGTACAAAACCTAGCATGATTCTAAATATGTATGCTTCTGAGTTTAAGCTTACCTGCTTTGAGTTTGTTAAATAGAGTTTTGCACCCAAATTTAAGATCTGCAACTTCACAAGGTCGTCTTCATTAGTGAAACTCTTGGCTGTCTTTCTCAAAACATCAGGTGCGATCTTTGGAACCCGTTCACAGTACTCGCCGATGAGCCAAAGAATGCTGGCTCTGGCTACTGGAACCTGAAAAACATTGTGCACTCTAAGTTAACACATTCACAAAGACTACTTGTGTACTTGTACGTCTCTGTTCAGTAACAAGTTAAACAAAATATTGTTTAAAGACAATTTCCATACAAGAAATACAGACCCAAATTAAACACTGTTCAATATGGCCACTGTGGTAGACTGAATATTCATACAAATGTAGATACAAATCCTGCCCCAAATCCCATGCACTATGAGTTGACAATACGAACAGAGCAGAAATGGAAACAGAGGCACACAGAGATGACGTATTCGTGTTCACAGTACAAGCTGGTGGCAGCCAGGAAGAGAATCCAAGCCTTTGAGGTGTGGTTGGGAATTCTTGGCACCAAGTTATGTTAAACATCATGCTGAAACAAAATAGTGCTATTTTGCAAATATATTCAAATGGAAATGGTTTCCAACACTACAGCTTCCTCAAATCCTGCCTGTCTACTTTAAAAGCAAAAGAACTTCTTTAGGACTATTGTTATATTCATTTTTATTTAAAATTTTATTACAGTAAGACTCACATTTTTGCAAACATTCAAGGCCAGAGAAACTTCACACAGGTCTTACTGCTTTGGAGCTACTTGACTGTTTCACTGAAGTCACTGGCAGTAGCGAGCAGTTTTTAGATGAACTCCCAGCATACGGCACTGACATCAAAAGCACAGTACTGTCACAGATAGAAGGGAAGCAAAATGGAAAAGCACAAGAGGAAACAGAAGCTCATGCTCCACACAGAATTTAGCTATTAGTAGTTAGGTGTTAAATGAAATAATATACACACATTCTTCTCAAACATGAGCTAGCCTCTATTACCTGGTGGTCAAATTAAAAATTGCACCCATGTTACATACTTCCCTGAAAACAGTATTCCTCTTCCTTGAGAGGAAGGAAGAAAGTAGGTGGTAAGAAAATTCTAGGCAGAAGCATGTTGTGCATAGCATCTACAGACTGTGGTGCTGTCACGTTCTGTACAAACTCTTGTTCAACAGATGTTGAAATATTAGGGGAAAAAAAAAAATCTAACTGTGCTATCCTATCAAATGACTGACTGTAGTTTAGAAAAAAGGAAAGCTTCCAACTGTAACTGCAATTTCAGCTAATTTTGCTGCTTTTTCTAAAAAAGTAAAGAAACATCTGCACTAACACTTTCCATTACTCCCTACAGTAATCTTTTAATAGGCTTACACTTAAGCCAGAGTGAGTTCTGCCTTAGGTAAGATTGCTGGAGAAACAAGCTTTAGAAATTCAGCATTGTGGGTCTCAAAGCACTAATTCTTAGCATCTTTTATACATTTTATTTATTTATATAAAAATATATTTATTATTTACATTCTGATTACTTTTCCAGCATATTATTATATTATTCCAGCATGTTATTCATATATGAGTATCTATTTCTCAGAATTGCAATAGGAACCAACTATTAAGTATCCTATGCTGTATACACATAAAATTTGAAATTACTGATTTCCAATTACATTCATAAAAGGTAACAAATGCAAGTAAACTACCAAGGTTCAGGATAGCAATTCCCAAGCTATGGTTCACAGACCCTAATAAACGTCCCACTAAGCCATACTAAAGAAACACTAATTATGTTCACAAGAATTTTTAATGATTGTGAATGTTTTACTGCTCCAAAAGTTTGGGAACAGCTTTGAATAAAGCCAACCTGTTAATACCCACCTCTATACTTCCCATTGTTGCAAATACACATGCCAACAAAAACATGAACAGGCATGTCATGGCGAAAACAGAGGACTGCAACCAGATAATGGAAAAACAGAATACACGAGTCCAAGAACAACAACAACAAATCCCCTCAAGAGTTAAATGCCAATTCTAAACGTGGAGAATATATTTAAGGTAGCGGTAACAAAGTACTGAGAATGATATAATACCGTGATTTAACATATATAAATGTACGTAAATACTAATTGAGATACAGATGATTTTTTTTGTGAACTGACGAAAAAATTAAATGGTCTTGGAACTCATAGTGTGAGAGAGGGGAACAAACTACGGAACAACTGCTACATATAAAAACTTTAAGTGCAGTCAAAATATGTTCGCCTGCGAAATTGTAAGACTGATGCCATT